AATGTCAGGTGATATATATATATATATATTTCCCTTTTCAACAACAAAATATAGTATAGACCTTGATTAGCTTCTCTTCAGTCTAATCATATTATTATTTAGTAGGTTTAATACTGCTCCTCAGAATGCCATAGATGTGCTCCTACATGTTAGTTTAATTAACAATTTCTTAAACTGTTTGTTCAAAGTACAATAAGTAATGTTTTTAAAATAATGTCTATGATTGCAGGAAGATCCAAGTAAAAGAATCAGACATTTCATATCTGAACAGCTTAAAAGGTTATCCCATCAGCTATCTAGCACACAACACAGCAGTCATGCAGGACACAAGTTATGGACCCTTTCCACTTGGAAGTACTCAAGTAAGTTAAAATTAAAAAAAATCAATGTTAGGGGATGCTCATTATTGGCTTTTTTTGTTGGTTGACAAGTTGCCAAATTATAAACTGGTTCTTTGAATTAACTCCCTTGAATGAAACTAAAAGTTTTTTTTTTTCTGAGGAAACCATATTAATAGTTACCAAACTGCTAGACCCCTTCTCAAGAATCAAGTGATTTGTTTTATCTTGCCTGAGACTTCTGTATTTAGTATCTGCATACCTTGAAAGAACCTTGTGTCTGTCAGACAGTTTTCATTAGAGATTTGACTGCATTTCATAGATCATTGAATAATGTAAAGTTTTATTGTTAAAGTCCATATCCCAGATTATATAAAGAATAGGTCTTCTATAACTGGTGTATGGAATGATTGTAAGGTTTACATTTCCAACTGGCAGGTGTTACATGTATTTGACCTTGACCTCATTTTCTAGTTCAGTGGTCAAAATTAAGTTTTTGTGGTTTGGGTCTTTTTCTCAGATACATGTACTATAATGAATAGGTGAACTATATTTGGTTTATGGAATGATTGTAAGGTGTATATATACGTGTATTAGAATATCAGTCTTGGAGGTTTCCTCTGACCTTGACCTTATTTTCATGGTTCATTGACTTTGTGATTGTTCAATGTTTAATTTCTCTAATTTGGCCTTTATTTCTTAAGTATAGGTATAGTAGAACTATTTGATGTATGGAACAATTGTAGGGTGTGCATCATGATGTCTGGCAAGTGTCAGTTGACCTTAACCTTATTTTCATGGTTCATTCTTCTATGTTACTTTGAAGCCGATCCATCACCAAGATGGCCGCCAGCAGGGGACTTAGTTTAACATAGGACCCTATGGGAAATACATACAAATGTCTTCTTTTAGAGAACCACTGAATGGAATGAAACCAAACATAGCATGAATGTTCCTTATGAGGTGCTGACCAAGTGTTGTTACTTTGAAGCCAATCCATCATCCAAGATGGCCACCAGCTGGGGACTGTGTTGAACAAAGGACCCTATGGACAATACATACAAATGTCTTCTTTTAGAGAACCACTGAATGGATTGAAACCAAACATGGAACGAATGTTCCTTATGAGGTGCTGACTAAGTGTTGTTACTTTTTAGCTGATCTTTCATCCATGATGGCCGCCAGAGGGGGGACTTCCTTTAACATAAGACCCTATTGGAAATACATACAAATGCTTCTTCTATAGGTGCACTGAATGGAATGAAACCAAACAAGGCATAAATGTTTCTTATGGGGTGCTGATGAAGTGTTGCAACTTTGTTGCTGATTTACTGTTCAAGATGGCCACCAGGATTTTTTATTAGATTACAGGGCCAATATTAAACCAAATTTGGCCTCACTCATTATAAGGGTATCTGTAATGATTTTGATCTATTTTAACATGATTTCCAAAACCATAGTAGAATCAGGTGAGTGACACAGGCTCTTGAAAGCCTCTAGTTTTTAATATGCTTAATCTAATCATGTATTAAGTTTTTGTATTTTGGGCCCCGTTTTTAAATTGGTCCACATTGTGGTCCAAAGGGTCCAAAATTAAACTTTTTTTGATTTCATTAAAAATTGAATAATTGGGGTTCTTTAATATGATGAATCTAACTGTGTATCTAAATTTTTAATTTAGGTCCTGTTTTCAAATTGGTCTACATTAAGGTCCAAAGGGTCCAAAATTCAACTTTGTTTGATTTAATCAAAAATTGAATTATTGGGGTTCTTTAATATGCCTAATCTAACTGTGTATTTAAAACTTTGATTTCAGTCCCGTTTTCAAATTGGTCTACATTAAGGTCCAAAGGGTCCAAAATTAAACTTAGTTTGATTTCATCAAAAATTTAATTCTTGGGGTTCTTTGATAAGCCGAATCTAACTGTGTATTTAGATTTTTAATTTTGGGTCCTGTTTTCAAATTGGTCTACATTAAGGTCCAAAGGGTCCAAAATTAAACTTAGTTTGATTTAACAAAAATTGAATTCTTTGGGTACTTTGATATGCTGAATCTAAACATGTCTTTAGATTTTTGACTATGGGCCCAGTTTTCAAGTTGGTCCAAATTGGGGTCCAAAATTAAGCTTTGTTTGATTTCAACAAAAAATTAATTCTTTGGGTTCTTTGATATGCTGAATCTAACCAACCCCGGAAATAAAATGAACAAAAAACAGACACAGGTACATTTTACTAAAATACATGAAATTATTTTCTTCGAATAATTGGTTTCTGAAAGTTGTCAAAAAACAACAAACATTCCAAATCTGGTTAACACGTCCAAACAAGGATAAAGGAACTTTTTGTCCAACTATTTTAAACTTCTTCACAGAACCTATAGTACGCTCAACATGTACTCTATGTGCAGCAATCTTCTTTGTTAAAAGTGCATCTGCTAGAGTCATTTGTAATCCAGCATTAGCAAAAGGTGGAATGTTTAACTGAAGTTTGCATTCTTCAACTTCTTTGTGGATATTAAAACCTTTGTCTGCCATTATACCATCACCTTCCTTGATATGACCATGTTTTACTAAATTTTGTAACATCTTCTTGAATCCAGATTGTTCAAATATATCTTTGTCTGATATAGCACCAGAAAATAAACATGATGTAAATAAAAGTGACCCTCTAGGATCTACTGCTACTAAAGCTTTTAAAGTGTTTGTTGACTTGTAACTAGAATATGACTGTGACTGTGCATGAAGAGAAGAAGGCTTCTGTATTTTGATTTCAGTACCATCAATTATTGCTAAAGTATTAGGAAAATCCTTTTTATAACTTTCAGGCATATTTTTAATAATTATGTCACGTGGCGGCCAAATACATACTTCTCCAAACCTAAAGTACATGAAATTTATCCAGTCACAAAAAAGTGAACTACAGTCTTGTGTAGTTATTTGAAATCTGTATCCCAAATCTGTAAAGTCCAAGTTATTTCTCAATTTACATAATGTAAAAAAAAGCTGGTCCTTGATTTTAATCTTTATCTTCATATTCTTTGATATTTTTAAGGGAGAATTTGAAGAATCTGGCACTAAAAATTTAAAAACATTAAACTCTGAGTTGTTAAAACCACAGTAATATCTCAGAAGTTTATCATCTTTTGTAAAGTTTTCTGCTGAAAAGATTGACACTTCCCTTTGTTGATAAAGTTTCCGTGATTTCCTTGGTGCATTATGTAATGTTAGCTTTTCATTTTCCAATATTTTTCTTGCAAGGTCTCTCTCCAAAATCTCCTTTTGCACTGTTAGAGACAAAATATCAATTGGGTCAGCCCCTGAAATATAAAAAAAATATCATTAGATTCTTGTGACTTTTAAATATGTTCGATAAAGAAAAAAAATAATTTTGTGTTTGTCATGTCATGCATGTGCTAAGACTCCAACTTTTGTGGTGGGGCATGTTTTTGTCTCGCCTTGACGGAGTCGAAAAGCGAGACATAGGTATGCTTTTTCCGTCGGCGTCGGCGTCAACAATGTATTAGTTTGTGATTAGGTCTAGTTCATGGTGAACCACTAGTGGTAGGTCACTGATATTTGGTATGCAGTTGTATTAGCATTGGCACATCTCATTACCATGGAGATTATTTTGCCCCGCCCCTCAGTCAAGGTCTATTGACTTTGAAACTTTTCATAGTTTACATGTATTAGTTTGTGATTAGGTCAATTTATGGGGAACCACTAGTGGTAGGTGAATGATATTTGGTATGCAGTTGTATAAGCATTGGCATATCTCATTTCCATGAAGATTATTTTGCTACGCCCCCTTAGTCATTGTCTATAGACTTTGAAAATTTTTCTAAGTTAACATGTATTAGTTTGTGATTAGGTCAGTTCAAGGGGAACCATTAGTGGTAGGCCAATGTTAATTGGTGTTCAGTTGTATAAGCATTAGCACATCTCATTTCCATGGAGAATATTTGGCCCCGCCCCCTCAGTCATGGTCTATTGACTTTGAAACTTTTGCTTAGTTTACATGTATTAGTTTGTGATTAGATCAGTTTAAGATGAACTTCTAATGTTAAGTCCATGATATTTGGTATGCAAATTTATTGGCATTTGCAAGTATCGTTTCCATGGAGATTATATAGCCCCACCCCTGATCATGGTTCATTGACTTTGAAACTTTTACATAGTTTACAAGTTAATGTTTGTGTTTAGGTTTGTTTAGAGGGAACGACTTATAATAAGTCAATGGTAATTGGTATGCAGTTGTATTAGCATTGGCACATCTCATTCCATGGAGATTGTTTAGCCATGTACCTTTAGTCATGGTTCATCGACTTTGAATATTTGCATAACTGACATGTTAAAGTATTGCTATTTTAATTTCAACATTTGCATTATCAAAATTACAAAAAGGCGAGACACATCTCTGTGATAACAGTTTATTTCTTTATTTGAAAAAAAAGTTTGAATATGATTTTTTTTTTTGAGTTTCACACAGATCAGAAAATATTAAAATTAGTAAAATTTTCACAATCCCTTTTTTTTTTTAGGCAGACTTTTATTCAGAGAGAGAGATAGTTCCAGTGGAAACAGTTTGTGGAGATTTAGTTTTTCCGAAAGAAAATGTTCAATCAGTTTATCGGGAAAATACCACCTTTTGATAGACACTATTTCAAAGGATGAAGTAAGATGTATAGAAGAACAGACCAGAGAACAATCTCAATGTGAAAAGTGGTTCAAGGAAAGGGAAAAAAGAATAACAGCTTCAAACTTTCACAGAATTGTCAAAAGAAAAGCTGCAATTACTGACAAGTTCATTCTTTCCATAATGAAGCCAAAGCCTTTCACTAGTAAAGCAACATCCTATGGAAGAAACAATGAACTTAAAGCAAGAAACTTATATGTTCAAACTGCTGGCCATCATGTTCATGATTGTGGGTTTGTAGTTAACCCTAGGTACCCTTTTATTGGTGCTACTCCAGATGCCAAAATATGTGACAATGGTGTAACTGGAATTATGGAGATTAAATGTCCATTTAGCCAAAGAGATAATTTAATAACTGATGCAATGCAGGGTGCAGACTTTTGTTTGGAGTTGTCTGAAAATGGACCTAGATTAAAAAGCAATCATGATTATTTTATTCAGGTACAAGGTCAATTACTTGTAACAGGTTCACAATTTTGTGATTTTGTAGTATATACAAAGAAGGACATCCATATTGAAAGAATTTATCCAGACAAAGCTGTAATGCAGGACATTCTTAATAAACTTGCAGACTTTTATTTTGATCATGTACTTATCTAATTTGATTTAGTTGGTAACAAGTTTCTTGCAGTTTAATTCATTTCATGTTTGACAAAAAACAAAATAAACTACATGTATATGATCATTCCTTAAGGATAGTTATCTCATTGGCATTCATACCACATCTTCTTATTTATTTAACAATACATGTATTAGTTGAAATAAAAAAAAAATCTACAATTTATAATTGATAAAATAAATCAGAAGAGCATTACTTAAGGAACAAAATAAGCTAAAAATATGTATAGGTTAAAGAACTTTTTTCCTTGTATTCTTCACCTGCAAAACAACTTATATTATTTCTAAAAGGTATATTTTACATCATTAACCGAATCAAAGGGTTAAAAATAGGTCCAGGTGTTCGAGGCCGTAATAACCGCTGCTGGTTTTGTGTAAAAAAAATTGTGCCAGTAGAGGGTGTCACGTCTTCTATATCTTTTCGTGTTCTCTTCTAACGAATGCAAAGACATTGGGTGTTCATTTTTTGTATTTTTTAATGTGAATCATCGCACAGAGAAATAGAGAATACTATTATCGACAAGATCCTTAAAGTTAAATTATAAAAATGAATTTCGAACACTCGGAGAACATATTGTTTCATCAGTTTATTCTCTATAATTTATTTATGAATATTTCATGACCAGGTCTGTGGTATCTGTTTAGTGAAATTCAAATCCCTAGCTTCTGTTAAATCCGGAAAAGTCAGACTTCAAATAAAAAATACTGGTCCCTCAGGCTTTAAAATTTCAAGCTGGATACAGATGGTGCATGCATGGCTAAAAATACCAAAATAATGTCATGAACCGGTATGTAAAAAAAAAGATCTGTAAAGGGTCTATATGAAATCTAATTAAGCTGATGCTAAATGTTGATGAATAATCCCTGTTTATGATCAAGCAATACCATCTCCTTAAAATCCTATTGAAAATAGAAATACAGAACCCGTATAATCTCTTTAAAGGTTAAAATTCAGTAACTTTCATTTTTTTTTTTCAATAAATGATTAATACCACATCCCCTTATTTTTATATTATAAGTATGAAATATTGGTCGCTGAACTAAATGACATGCAATTAATTAATCGTAAATGTCCGTCAATAGTGTACCATATAATGTTTAATGACACGATTTCATTCTAAAATGTTTGTAAAATATCTTTCCTGCGGTGTTCACACAAATAAAACAGTCGAAGTTCACGAAATATATGTTTGTAAAAAATAGAATTAACCCTTTCCTCCTTCACGGCAGGAACTCAGCTAGCAATAATAAAGAACACTTTGAAACATCAAAAGGAATGAAACATGGTTATATAAATTTCAATTGTCGAAAACTAATAAATACGAAATTTTGTTTATCAAATTAAAGTCAAGTGTTTGTCGCTTATCAGTCAAACACCATTTGGATAAAAGGAATTCAATTTAGATAAGAAAATGTGGGCATTGGCAGTGTGTATTTCATCGACAATGTTAGGGAATTTCTGTTGAGTTCCATGTTTAAAATTAGTGTTTTTTGTAAATTTTCATAACTCCAAATCTCAATATTGTTTTAATATTTACCGAGTCCTAACTGTGCGTTCTCTTGGGCCATGATTCTGTCATGGGTGGACCGATTTCCCGTTTCAGACTGAGAGGGTAAACACATAAACATTACTATTCAAACATACGTAATGTGCGAAACTTTCAACACACAGTCTGACGAATATGTCGGATGTGCGGTCAATAAAGAGTTTTATATTATGTTAGTCTGATAAGTTACAATGCCAAAAAAAAAGGGCGACCCTGTCTTGTTGTTCAATTATCTTGTGTTTCCAGCTCTTATGTCAATCTTTAAATCGTCAGCACCAGTGTGATGTGCGTGCATGCAAATATAAAAACCAACGTTGTCGTTTGCCGCTGGAAGACGTTTTTTTTTCAGAGAATGAAAACTCAATTTACTTTTGCCATAATTATAACGTCACAATGACGTCATGGATATTACGTCATTGCTCCAAAATACACTTAGATCACCGATGGTCAACAATGTTATAAAGCATTAATTATTTAGTGTAGTATAGGTTGCAAAGTTTTGATTTATAATATATACTTATTGTAATATTGCTGAAACGACATATATGTCGCCTTGGCATCAAACCCCCAAACGACTTATATGTCGCTTTGGCATCAACACTGAAACGACATATATGTCGCTTTGGCATATGAGGGTTAATCGTACATCAATCAAACGACGTCTGCTCTTATGCGCAATTTCGCCATTTCAGAATCTAATCATCGCGGCATTCTTGGTAATATTTTCAAAAGCGTACACCAAAACGTTCAACTTCCGAAGCAAGGTTGTCGGCTCTCCGGACTTTCCCGAAGTCCTGCGTTTAACACCCTTGCCATCAGCCGTACTCACAATTACAAGATCTTGTAATACGTAGTCATCCGCAGCGCACGCATACATTTTTTCATTTATTGCATAAAACGCTGTTTAAAACGAGCTGTTGTATTAACTTTAACGATTCAATTTAAATCTAACGACAATCTGTAGCCATTTGACTATTCTGATGACAGTGCGTACATGCGAACTACTTTGTTTACGTTTTCCAAGTTGACGACCGCCAGCGTACAAACCATGCAGGTTTGATTATTACTTATTTTAAACGAAATAACTGTTTTAAATCATTGCATATGACAGAATTCAATTGCATAGATGTTAGGTCTGATTGCCAGTGGATTTTTATACAAAATTCCTGTTTCTTGATAGCAAAATGTACCAGAAATTTAAAAAGGGGGAGGGGCATTTCAAACAAGTATCATACTTTATTCTAGCTGCGGTACCATAAATAACTTTATTCATGGACAGAGAATAGAGTTTGCTGGACATTAAAAATTGTACCCCCTCACCCCCCCCCCCCCCCCCCCCCCCCCCAAAAAAAAAACCCACTGCATTAGGAAACAATTGAGAAAGCAATCAAAGGTTGCCTATGAAATATTATAGTGTCAATATTCATTTGTACATGTATGTCACAGTAAAAAATTTCTACTTCACAGGTTTTGAAACCTAATGTATTTTTGTCTATGTCTAAACCATTGATAGTAATGTTCTAATGTCAGAATCCTAATTATATATATATTTACAAAAATGTATAATCACCCAGGTGTCAGACCACCAATTAAAAATCCCTATCCGTTCAACCAAATTTTGCAATTTTCACAGCTTTCTAAATATTTTACCTTAAGTTTAACTTCATAGAAACCAGGTATATCCTGAATTGTACATGTATCACCTTTCTACATGCCAATTTTCAACCTACCTTTAAAGACTTATGAGAAAAATCTGACCTTGGGAACACAGGTACTACCAAAATAACTCCTGGTTTTCTGGAAATCTTAAATTAGTATACTATGGATTGCATTAATCCTGAATTTTTAATGCAAACTCATAGACAAGTCAATTTTGGCTCAAAATGGTCTAAATATATTTCTCTTTCACCAAAAGTATCATTTCTGCAAATTTGTTGGTTAGTTTAAGTAAACAAGAATATCAAAAGCACTATTTTGTGTCAGAGTAGTTCTACTTTTACATACGTTCTAAATTGGAGGGAGTAATTGGTGGTCTGACACCTGTACATGTAGGAAGTTCATAAGAAAAAACACAGATATCATAATGAATGAATTTATTTGTAATTTTCATATTTGCATATAATACAATTCAATTTATATAGATATAGGAAGATGTGGTATGAGTGCCAATGAGACAACTCTCCATCCAAGTATGCATGAATTTTTCATTTATCTGTTGAATTATCCACTATGGCTTATTTACAGGAAACCAGGCATATAAAATACTGTTATATAGCAATAAGCATATTTTCCGGATAAAATTGAACCTAGTTTGAACTCCACATAAGTTATTAAGCAAATGAATGTACTAATCTAATGATATTTTTTTAAATATTGAATACCAATCATGCACAGTGTTCTACATGTAGGTAATTTAAGCATAAAACTTAAGAGAGGCACAGTTTAAGGATGAAGGACACCTAAGACTGATATTTTGTCTGAAAGGGAACATGTTTATATATATTAAAAATAGATATTGAAACAAATGAATAAATTATTGTGTTTTTCCTGAATTTATGCTATTTTGGTCTCACCGTCTGTAAAAAACTTTGTCCAGTGGTTAAAATATTTTTTTCCCTTTGATACATGCAGTATACATGTAGGCTGAAGTTAGACACAGAAAAGTGCAGAGGGGAACTGCGCCCCTCTTTTGTTGGCTAGCTGTATATAGAGCTGATTCTGATGATAGATAATTATAGGTTTGTGTTACTGATTATCATGACACTGTCATAACATGAGGTGCCAGTAGATTGGAAGTTAGCAGTTAAATTTCTAACAGATAGGATATGTTAATTTCAATAGTATTTTACCTTGTGGTGAGTTTAGTCATTAAATTTTGATCAAATGCCTTGCAGATAATTATATAATGTATATATTATTAAATTCAATGTTGTAATTTATTCCAATAAGGAAGGTTGTAATGGCCGAAACATATGGAAAATTGTGTTATAGTTTTTATTATATATATGAACATCAGTTTTTTTTTTCAAAAATAAGACTTGTGAATTTATATTTATAGTGTATATTTAATAAGTAGTTTAAAAAAATTGACATGTGCAGGGATCTAACAGCCTAGCTAGGTTTTATGAAAAAAAGAAGGTCACATCTTAAAAGTTAAGAAACTGCATTCTTTGAAACATGTCCAGTTAATATCTTTATCTAAGGACCAGGACCAGTTTTAACCCATGTCAAAATTCCCATAATTTAACCCATGAGGGCCATGATCTATGGCTGGGTCCTTATAAACATGTAATATATTTATACTCAAAACAGTACTGCTGTTAAATGCTGGTCTTTTTTTTTAATTGGGTCCACGTTCCTGTCAAGGATAAGGTACACCTGAAAGAATTGAGGAACAAAAATCTTCAAATTGTGGTTTGATTGATAGACTTGACA